AAGGGGTTATATGGGAGAGTTTGTGGAAGGAAAAGAAGGAAATGATGCAACTATAATCTCAAAAACTAAAATAATTAAAAAACTGATGTAGTAGCAAATGGGATTGACATCAAGTGAGAGGACAAGGACTCATAAGGCTCAGCTGCTGCTCTTAGAAGCTTCTCATTCCTCTTTCCTAGAAGTGGTTAAGACATGAATCCAGAGCCAGGTGTCTAGTGTCAACTTGTACTCAGCCATTCCAAGCTTTGTAAGCCTCGGAAGATTATTCATTTTTTTCAAGGCATACTTCCCTCATATATGTGAGATATATATATCTCACATATATTACTTTATAGGGCTGCAAAGATTAGGTAAGATGATATTTTGAAACATACATAGTAGGTGCTCACTGAGGCAGTAGACAAATTAAAAGCAGAAAATATCCTGAGGATTGCCAGAGATGTGCTACCTGATATGGTAACTAAAGGGCTTCATTACAGAGATTTTCATTGTAATTTTAGTTACTGAGTTACTACTATCACCTGTCTTCATTTCATTTATTCAATGAGTAAATATTAACTGGTGTAGTATGTGTGAAGGTACCTTACAAAAAAAGGCTTATACTTGAGAGTAGATGGTACAGCAAGAATAGGTATGGGCAGTTGGTTTGGTTTGGTAATCACTCGTACACATAGGTATCTGAGTTTGAATACCCAGAATCCATGTAAACAAGCCAGATGTGGACATACGTGTCTGTAAGCCCCCGGCACTGTAGGGCAGACAGGCAGGTCCTTGGAGCTCTCTAGCCAGCCAATGTACCTGAACTAGTGAGCTTCCGAGTCAGTGACAGATCTTCTTTCAAGGGAATAAGGCAGAGAGCAACAGAGGAAGACACCAGTGTTTTCTTCTGGCTTCTGCATGTGCAAGTGAAAGTATACACTGCAGACACTGTGCCATATGAGTGGTGTCTGTATTTCACCTTAAGACACTGAGAAAGGAGCTCTGGACTTCCCAGTCAGAGTCTTAAGTGTCTTAAGCATTGGCATTTTCTTTATATTTATATAGTAGGCATGCAGCCAATAGTTGGAATAATGTATGACAGAAAGGACAAATAGACTGGATAGATAGATGGCTTACCACTTCCACGGCCTTTCTCTTATGTATTGTACATTTGCTGTTTACTTATTTGCATTTCTAAGAGAAAGTGTGGATTTTAAATTAAGCTATTAATCTTTCTCCTAGATAACAGTTTATATAACAATATCATCTTTTGGGATAAAGACTGTTGTTACATTTGAAACAGTTACAGGAGTCAGTTTCTCCTGCGTTAATATCCTGTGAAATAATAAGCCCATTAGCCCCAGAGACATGATAATCTTTAGTTTTTGGTATCATGTTTAAGCTCATTTAGAACAAATGTCATTTTCTTATGCTCATAGTAGCTGTCACATTGGCATTTAAATGTCCACCTTAAGTTCTAAAATGGGAACTTCTGCTATCAGTAGAATGAGGAGAAAAAACCCGGAGAGTTATAACTATGTAAATTCTATGAAAGCAGGTTGGGAGGCATATAATGAAAAAGCAGATATTTTTATTATGATGTTTATCCATATTTGGCATTGCTGTAAATGGCTGACTAACATTTACTGCCAATTCAGTACAAATGTGTGGTTTGGTAATACCAGAACAGCAAATTTAAATGAAAAATAAAAGTTAAACATTTCCACACAAAATTTTACAGTCTGACATTTCACTGTGGAGGTAAAAAGACAGTTTGAAACTACAGGTTATTCAGCATGAATAAAAAACTACAACTTTTATTTTTAAACAGGAGTCACTGGTTTTTAATTTTTACACATTTAAAAATTACTGTGATAAAAAATAATGAAAAAGCTTCTTAATAATGCCATACACAGTATAATATAGATTTGTCCCCATTATATAGCATTTGTTTAATATACAAAATAGAATATTGACACACTGAAATCTATATGTAGTTAAGCAGGTTATTTAGAAGGGTATTTTCATACAGCCATTTCTCAGAAAATAAAATCCTTTCAGGCATACTCTAGACAGAAGCCAACCCTTTCCTGAAAACCTGGTCATCAAATCTGATAGACCAGGCTGACTGAAAGCCTGAGAAATGAGAAAACTTCTATCTGAAGTGGTTTGCAGTGTCTTCTGCACACTTTTACTTCACCTTCTAACACTGAAACCAGGCACATAAGAAACACATTCAACTACAGCTTATTGTTGGGGTGACCAACCAAGATCTAAAGCTCACTGAAGGCTACCATGATCCTTGAATGTTGACAGATCCAAGCATGATGCCACAGTTTCCCATGGTGATATGGTCTCACAGTACTAAAACGGAGCAAATACCAAGTCAGTCTGGAATTGCTCATCCTGTCCTATCCCTGTCCTGGCCCTACTCTGCAGTGCTGAGGAGGTTGGAATCTCCACATGTTCGCACGAGTTCACCCTGTGCTCATTGTGAAAGACTCCACACACTAAACATGTCCCTTGTCCCTTTGGGGGTGGTCTGGCTTGTCGTTTTGTCTTTCTTCAGAGAAGGCTACATTCCCTTCCCTTCCTTTCCCCAAGCTTCCTGTCTTCTCACTTCTGCTTATATAGTAACCCAAGTCAATGACTACAATACCCAGAATGTCCCTTTTTTGTCCTACCAGTAATTAAAGATAGTTTTCAAGATCTGTTGTGAGTCATGTAGGCATTTTTCCAACTCTCACTGAAGTTATAGATCTAAATAGTTTGGAATGGTATGAAACCACACACAGAAATTGAAGTCGCTCTCAAACAGTACCATAGCTTTCTCACTTACACTCTATCAGAATGAGGGGAGCTCTTCTTCCCACATACTCAAGAAGCACAGCTCTTAGCCATGTAATGGAAAGCTTCCTATAGTAAATTTATGTGTCTGTTGCCTTCTGGTAATAACAAATCTTTTTTATTTTTGGAGCTGTATTTTTTATTTTTTATTTTTGAGAGCCAAGCTGGTTGGGACTGAAAGTAGATTTATGTGTGATGTGCTTTCTGGTTTTAATCATATAACATTCCATAAATGTACAATAATCTATTTTTTTGAGAAGCTCATTTTGAAATTTAACACTGTCATTGATAATATTCAAGTGGTATTTCTTAGGCACCATAAATTTCACATCCAGCTGGGTTACAATTATTTTAAAGTACTTTGAGACCAATTTAAACCATTACAAAGTGAACATTCCCTTTTAGAGAGAATTCAAAAAGCAAAGGATTACACTTTTTTATTAAATAATTTCTGCAAAATACTGAAAATAACAACATTCAAAAAGCATTCAAAGAAAACAAACATGTCCTCATTTTACTTGGAAATAAACTATTTCAGGATGGAAAGGATTAGTGTATTATTGGTGACCTATGGGATTCTGTAGTATTTACATATTGCTGGTACCTCTATTCATATTATTGCCAAACTTCTAAAGCCTGTGTTCCTGTTAACCTGTGGGGAGGCCGCATGTGAAACAACCCTGTTACTAGAGGGTGCCTGTAACTGTATCAGCACCACCTTTCTATTCTGCTCATGTGCGTTAGTGCAAGGGGAGATTTAATAAACTAACCCTGCACTGACAAGGTCAAGGTTGGATAAGGATGGTCAGAACAGGAGGTGGGGAATTAGTTCCCCTGTGATCTGATTGGGTCAAAGCCTCAGCAACCTCCACTGCACACAGGGCCAGTCTCCATCTCCCTCTTCCTATCTTAGAGCAAACTGGTTTTGACTTCCAAGACCACTGAGGCCTGTATGGATGCTCACACACTATAAATCATATAGGATATCCATCGTTACTTTGACCCCTACAAAAAATATATAACATGTCATGATAAAACAATCTCATCTAAAAATCATTCTTATTTTACACTATACAGCTATTTTACAATCATTTTAATAAATTGCATGTAAAGCCACAGTAGCCCTTCCCTTCCCAGATTAGTGAATACCAATATGATATATATCTGAAACTATAACTAAATATAAAAATATATTAGAAGTTTCATATTTTTAATATTAGATTTTCAGTTTTCTATTACAGAAATAATTTGGCCACCTTAAGTAGAAATCAATTTTTTTTTTTTTTTTTGTGGCTTAGTAAGTGTGTTAAGCTTTGAGTTTACAGAAAGTTGGTAAGGTGCACACAGAAAGGGCTACCACAGCTTCTGTTCTGTTTACAATGATAACTCTCAGTGTGAAGAAGTTCACAAGACCTGTGTTAAATGCTATGGCACATGTAGGGATGTGTAGTTGGACAAACATGGATGCCTGACATTCAGTTCTACATAACAAAAATCAGTAGCTGATTTTCCTGTACCACCAGGAAAGCTAGACCAATTGGTGACAGGTGGGGATGTGAAAATGGGTGTCTAGCCATTCTTGCCGTATTAGAGATTAGTTTGGGGGTAAAGTTTAATGAGAGAAGTTACTTGGTCTAATTTAAAGAAAAATTTCAGCTCTGTCACACAATCTGGAATCATAAATGTTAAGATGTTACATAAACCACTCCAGAAGGTACTGAAAGAGTTCATTTACAAACTTTGTTGTCATCTCACCATTGTAGAGATGGGGCATTAGGTACAAACTGGGCCTTTTGGTAGTTACTGTCTTTAACCAGTCTTTTGTGACCATCACCCATAGTTTACCCAGCGGCTCACTGGACTAGGTAGGTGCTCTACACCAGTTAGGACGGTAATCTGCACAAGCTATCTAATTCTCCATGGAAGCAGATATATACAAAAAAAAAAAAAAAAAAAAAAAAAAAAAAGAGCTTTTGACAGGAACACTGGAGATCTGAGTCAATTTTTGTGGTCTTCTGATAGCTAAGTGCCATCAGGGTAGAAGCACCAACCCATTTTCACACAGAAGATTAATGTTTAGAGTTGAGGAAAGCTATGAACTAGCTGCCCATCTTAAACAGCTGTACAATAACTTGAATACAAAAATTATTTAAGAAAAAAACGAGCAAGCATAGTTCACTGAATATAAAGGAAATTGTTAAAACCAGACAGTAATTGCTATAAAAGGCACAACTTCCCTTTTCTGATATACACTTGTAAACTTTTTTCAGGTTTCCATGCATAAATCAAAAATGCTATCCTAACTCTACATGGGAAAATACACCAACAGAAAGTCTAGAAGTTTTATCCAGCCAACTGAAAATATGAGCAGAAAGCTGATTACAGGGACTTTGGGCACTGGTGGTTTGGGTGCAGTCCTTCACCGATAGTGGAGATACCTGCCTGTAACTTTTCAGTTTCTGTGACAGCCAACCAATACACTTCACTGTCTGCTTCCCCATCACTTAAAAGTGATGACTCAACTGCCAAGTCTTGGCCCTCTATAAACCACATGTAGTGCGTATTTAAAACAAAACAAGACAAAAACAAAAAGAACAAGGAAACATCTACAAGACAAATTGATAAGTTTGTACAGTAAAAGCTATAAATGCAACTTTCTTTAAGGCAACCTTTCTTAGTAAGGCAGTCATTTTTGATGAAACAGAAGCTTTTTGATATTTCCATTTGAATATTTTGGTATCTGATTAGTGATGATTTCAGCTAACATCTCTGGGAATTCAATACTCATGGTCTTATCCAAAAATGTTTGGAAGCAGTAGGAAAGGAGGTTTTCAACCACCTGCAAGAGAAGATACAGTACTGATGAGGGTTCAAAGCTCAGCAGGGTGAGTTACTTGTATCTGTTGGCCTCCTTTCCCCCAAGTCTTGACTTTTACTTCTTTTATTGAAAACAGATTCTTTTCTCACATACTATGTCTTGATTACAGTTTTCCTCCCTCTACTCCTCCCATTTCTTCACTACCTCTCCTGTCTGGATCCACTTTTCTGTCTCTCATTAGAAAAGAAAGGGATACTAATCCACTGTAACAAAATAAAATACAGTAAGATAAAACAAAAATTATGATGTTGGAGTTGGACAAAACAAACAAGAAGAGTCCGAGAGAAGGAAAAAGATTCAGGGACCCACTCGTTCCCACACACAAGAAGCCATAACATATACACAGAAGAACTGTGTTGACTCTGCTCATTTCTGTTGGGCTTTAAATTTTTTTTTTTGATCCAAAATATACCAATATTTATTGGAATTCCTCAGAGAAGAAAAATCATTTAAATAAAATGAGCACTTAAATACAAAAAAACAGTCTGAATTTCTTAAACTGTGCAGAACATGAAAGCCTGGAATGCTGTAATCCCAGCACTTAGGAGACAAGGCATCAGGTTCAAGGAAGAGTGTGAGTTTGAAGCCAGCCTGGACTAGTACTGAAATACAGAAATAGCATAGTTTAATAGCTCTTCTGTGTAGAACAGGGAATTCTATTAAAAAGACTGTTACTAAACTTTGTAATAACATGATAATTTTCATGGAAATGACTAGACTAATAAGACTTAGGAGAAAAGTGTAAAAAATTGAAGTTTACAAATTTAACTTGAATGATCACCAAAATATATAAACTAAGGGAGGGAGAATGACTTACTGGTGTGTGTGTGTACATACATACATACATACATACATATTTGTGCATATATATATATATATATATATATATATATATATAAAATGTTCTAATTATACCTTATATCCTACAAAATTCTGTCTCTGGGTTTTTGAGACAGGGTCTCTCTGTCTGGAGGTCATAGAGGTCCACTTGCCTCTACCTCAGTCTTTGCTGTGATTAAAGGCATGTGCCACCACACCCAGCCTATGTTTTTCTTTTGGTTGTTGTTTTGGCTTTGTATTTGATACTTACATCATGCATGGAGTCCAACAGTTTTGTCAGTTGATAAAACCGCTGCCAGTTCTGACTGGAGTTTCCTTCCCTTTTGACAATGGCTTTTCCTAGTTCTTTGATATAGGTCATTCGAATCTCATCAAATAACTCTTGGCTCTTCAGACCTTCCTTAGGAACTAAAAGGTAAGATGAAGTTGCTGTAACTTGTCATGCAGACTTCACTGATACAATGTACTTTAATGCATTCTAAAATCCATGCATTTTCAAAGGACTGGGGACTAGAGTGAAGTGAAGTATAGGGTAATTAAGAATGGGGGTCAAAAAAGTGGGTGAACCAACTGGGTTTTTTTCCTATCTTATAAAATGGGAGTTGGTGATGACAAGCCTGTTTTGAAGATGAAATGATAAGTGATGATTTAGTTAACTTTGGTTGGTATTCAATTTTAGTTAGTTCTATTTCCTGGTAGAAGGCTTTAGCAGCAACTTTTATTCCACTAGCTACATAGTAAGCATATGTATCATATTACTAGTTAATTAGAACTTTAAATTTAGCATTCAGCACTAAAAATGTGTTAGCATACTAAAATTTTATGATCTAGCATAAGAGGAAAGATGATCCTTACTTTGTCATAGCCTACACAAAGGCCTTTCTAGGGAGAAAATATCTGTTTCTGTGCACCTTTAAGAACTAGCCTTACCCCATGCAATCTGGATTGTAATATTGGGGTAAAAATTTTCATATTACTCTTCAATACTCAGTACTACTATGGGCTGATCATGGTCATTTAATCTCATGGATTTATAACTTCTGTAGATAGCTACATTTCTCAAAGTGCGCTCCTGCTGTGGTCACAATGGTTAGAGCAGGAAGATGTAGAGAGTTTAATACAAAAATCTCTGAATGTCAGTACTTTGCAGAGACTCTAAGCTGCATTTTCTAGATGTAGGGTTGGTATTGTGTAATCCATTAGTGTTGTTGCCAAAGGACAGACTGAGTGTTGACCGGCCTTTGCAGTCGTTTGCTATCTCATGCATTGTGCACTGTTACATATCCTTTTACTCTGCTAGTCAGTGTCTTCATTTAGTACTTTTGTAAACACAGTAAAAAGTTTGGGTACTTTTAAAAATCCACTTTTAAATTATGCTTCCAGTACTTAGTCCATCTCAATTTTTATAGAAATTATGGATATATTTGAATTTATTTGAACTCCCTTATCTGGCATCTCTTATCATATACCCTCTTGTACTCACTCTTGCCTCCAAGCTCCTATATCTTTCACTTTTTATTATGTCTTGTTAGCACTTTCCCCTATGCCCAACAAAAGCTGAAAATTTGCATACTCTAGTTGTCATCCTTGAAATGAAGCATCCATTTTTATCAGATTCCCCTTTTGGGTTTATTATGTGATTCTTTTGCATGTTAGTAGATATTGTTATTTTATATGCTGGCAGATGTCAGTTTTAATGTATCTATTTCCCACTCCCTTGATCCTTAATTCCTTAGTAAATATGAGTTACTTCCCTTCAACCTAAGTTTATCCTGTAATAGTGTCCTGGTGAGAACCATGGTGGTAGCATTTTCGCTCTGACCTCTGAAGCAGACTGGGGTGTTTTGGCCGTCTGCATTTACATGCTAGTTGACAGAACTGGTTAGAATCTGCCTGGCCTCACCCTTGGTTTCTGGTGTAGTTGGATTATATGTTGCCTACATTTTTGTGGGCGTGGTTATCTTCCTTGGGTTGGAGTTTTCCTTCCAATACTTTCTGTAGGGCTGGATTTGTAGATACGTATTGGGAAAATCTGGTTTTGTCATTAAATATCTTGTTCTCTCCATCTATAGTGATTGAGAGTTTTGCTGGATATAGTAGCCTAGGCTGGCATCCGTGTTCTCTTAATACATTTAGAACATCTATCCAGGACCTTCTGGCCTTGAGGGTTTCCATGGAGAAGTCAGGTGTAATTTTAATAGGTCTGCCTTTATATGTTACCTGTCCTTTTTCCTTCGCTGCTCTTAATATTCTTTCTTTATTCTGTATGCTAGGTGTTTTGATTATTATATGTCGAGGGGTCTTTTTTGTTTGGTCCAGCCTATTTGGGGTTCGGTATGCTTCTTGTACTTTCATGGGCATGTCCTTCTTCAGATTTGGAAAGTTTTCCTCGATGATTTTGTTGAATATGTTTTCGGCACCTTTGAGCTGGGCTTCCTCACCTTCCTTTATGCCTATTATTCTTAGGTTTGGCCTTTTCATGGTGTCCCACATTTCCTGGATGTTTTGTGTTAAGGATTTGTTGGATTTATGATTTTCTTTGGTCGATGAATCTATTTCTTCTAGTTTATCTTCTGCGCCTGAGATTCTTCCATCTCTTGTATTCTATTGGTTATGCTTGTGTCTGTAGTTGCCAATTTTTTGCCCAGCTTTTCAATTTCCAGCATTCCTTCCATTTGTGTTGCCTTTATTTTCTCAATTTCAGTTTTCAAGTCTTGAACCATGGGTGGGGTAGGGCACAGGGTAGGGGGGGGTAGGCTGGCGGTGGGGATGGGTGGGGGTGTATCAGAGCTCCAAGGGTGCTCTTGATGGGGACCAGAGACAGGAGCAGCAGGATCAGGGGCCAACCCAGGGAGTTCGGGCGGGGGAGGGGGGAAAAGAGGTTGTAGGGGACAGGCAGCCCTGATTGGGCCTTTGACAGTTTGAATTCTTTTAAGTGACTACTGTATAATCTGCAGTATACATTTTCAATTAACCTGTTTTCCCTTCCAAAACATACTATTCTGCTTTAACAGGCAATGTTAGTGCCAGAGTATACCCAAATCTTCCCTTGTATTATTGTAATACTACTGGTATTCATTTTACATATCCATGTATTTCAACCATCCAGCACTTGATTATTAAAAAAACCATATTTCTCTGTGTATGTTTATGGGTGCTTTGCCTGATGTATGTTTGTGCAGCACAAGCCAGAAGAGGGCATTAGATCCCCTGGGACTGAAGATACAGACAGTTCTGAGCTGCCATGTGGGTACTGGAAATCACTGTGCCATCTTCTCCACACCCATGGTACCTGATCATTATTACTGTAATAATTATGTAATGTTAAAAAAGTGACATTTTACTCCACATATCCCTTTTTTAATATGCTTTCTTTGTTATATAGCACATCCTTAATTCTGACATATATTTTCTTTTCCTCAGAAAAAAATTTAAAATAGCTCATGTAAGATAGATGTAAAGGTGTTCACGAGTTTCCTCACTTTTTTGAGAACATTTTTATTTTGCCTTTTAATTAGTTTTTAGATAAGTCTTGGATAGGTAGCCATGGCTAGCTTGAATTCCAGTCCTTATCCTCAGGAGTGCTGGTATTCCAGGTATCTGCTACCATGCCTGGCCCCATCTTCTTCTGTTTCTAACTTTAGAAATTTCTGAGCTTTAATTACTTATTTCTTCTCCCTTCCCACTTTGATGGTCTCTTCCGATCCTTTTAATTTTTTTTCCTCTATATTTAAGTCTAGATGCTGTTGATCTCTGTTCTCTCTTTTCTTGGTTGCACTACAAGTAATGATATGCCTATTGGAACATTCTGAATTTTCATTTCAGCATTTTTTATTTATAGTATTTCCTTAGAGGAATGATTCCTTAGCAGTCTATTCGTTTATTCTTCCTATAATATCCTTAGCATAAACAGTGTAGTTATTTTAAGTTCCTACCTGATAATACCAATGGTTTGGGATCAGATTTAATGCTTTCTTTGTTTTTTTCAGATTATGGCCCTTTTATTGCCTTTTAGCATGGCTTTGTTGAAAGCTCATGAAAAGTAATGAGAACTGATGGAATCAGACATTCTGTGGGAGACAGTATGTTAATCTGACTAGGTTTTGGGTTATGTTTAATGTTTATGGGCAGTGTGGTAGTTTGAATAAAAATGGCCCCCTCAGGCTCATATAATAGAGACCTTGGTCACCAGTAAGTGGAACTGTGGAAGGATTAGGAGGACTAGGAGGTGAGTAGTTGTGACTGTTAGAAGAAGTGTATCATTGAGTGGTAAGGTCTCCAAAGTCCACAACAGGCCGTGTGTGTGTGTGTGTGTGTGTGTGTGTGTGTGTGTGTGTGTGTGTGTGTGTCTGTCTGTCTGTCTGTCTGTCTGTCTGTGCTTTCAGATCAGGATGTAGCACTCAGTACTTTTCAACCACCATGCCTACCTGCCATCATAATGTACTAAGCTTCTGAACTGTAAGCAAGCCCCCAATTAAACACTTTCTCCTATGATTACATTTTAGTTTTTCTGAACCTGAAAATTTCCTAGAAACCCATTTCCCTCTTTTCTTCCCTGTGAGCCAGGAGGGCTATTACAAGGTGTCTAGAATCCTCTATTTGCTGTTTTCCAGGCCAGATAAGGTCCTGATGAAGCAGTTTGTTGTATGGGGCAGGCTTTGCTTGTGCTCTGAAAAACACTGTGTGAAAACCTCCCTTCCTTATGGGCAGAAGAGTGCATTTTTCTCTCATCTTCACCAACTGGTAGGATTTCTGAAGACAGGCTGGACTGCTGAGCACGCTATACATCAAACCATCAGCCTCAGTCAGTTCCTTGGCATTGATGAGCCCTACCCCCAATTTTGTTAATTGTTCAGAATTAGAAAACAAAAGCCCAAACAGACTGCTCCCAGTTTCCTCTATAATAAATAGACTTTCCTAATTCCACTCTTTTTTTCACCCCTTTAAGGATACTTGGCTTGGTTCACACATTTTGGCAAGTAATTTTCTGTCCTTACACTGAATTTTATATCACTTTGTACAGTTGTTCACTTTCACAGCACTAACCTGTATTTCTATCCAGTTGGAAGGTCTTGGGAGAGAGAGGGAGAGAGGTATATGTACCTCTTCTTTATTCCCTACAAATAGGAAATATGACTACAGTATCAAGTGAATACTCAGGGAGCATGGGATAGGATTCAATTCAGCTGCTCGTGCTGGGAGTGAGAATTAAATACCATAGAACAGATTGCTACCAAGTTTGCCTCTAAGCTAGCAGGTGGGGCCATCTTGAATGACACTTGGGGGGAGGGCCAATGAGAAAAATCAAGGTCAGAAAGGCACCGAGAGAGGCTCTGGTGCTCTGCCCTGCTGTCTCAGAGCCCCTATGACTCCTACATTCTTTTTTCTTTCATTTAATAAAACAACATATATTTATTGGGTATACCATCCATGTTATATTGTAACTTGGTGGTCTAGAAAAAGGTGGATACTCAATATCTTATAGTATTTATTTATAAGTTTATTTATTTTATATTTCTTCCCCAGTTTTCAGTCTATCCTCCTCAACCCCATCCCTCTGCTTGCAATTCACTCCTGCTCTTCTGTTTAAGAAAGAATCAGTTTCCCGTATCAACAAAACATAGCATATCAAGTTGCAGTAAGACTAAGCACCTCCTCATGTATTCAGGCTGAACAATATCAGCAGTAGGATCCCAAAAGCCAGCAAAAGAGACAGGCATGTTCCCACTCTTAGGCGTCCCACAGGAGGACCAAGCTATCAACTGTGTCATATATGCAGAGTGCCTAAGTCAGTCCCTTGCAGGCTCCCTGTTTATACATTCAGTCTTGGTGAGCCCTATGAGCATGGGTTAGATGATTCTGTGGGTTTTCTTGTGGTGTTCCTGACCCCTCTGGCTCCTACAATCATTTCTCCCACTCCTCTGCAGGGTTCCCTGAATTCTACCTAATGTTTGACTGTGAGTCTGCATCTGTTTCCATCAGTTGCTGGATGACAACTCTCTGATGACAACTGGGCTATGCAGCAATCTGGTCACAGGAGATGGTCAGTACAGAATATGTATCTTCTATTGCTAGGAGTTTTAGCTGGGGCTGTCATCCTTGTACATACCTTGGAGATTGCCTTGCACTACGTTTTTACCTGACACTGAAATGCCCACATCCCCTTTCAGTAGTTTCTTTCAGTACTCTCTTCATATGCTCCCCCTGTCCCAACCTGACTGCTCATGTTCCCATCCCCACCTGTCACAAAATCTCTTCTATTTCCCCTTCCCAGGGAGAGAGCTGTTCCCTCATGAACCCTCTTGTTGCCTAGTCTCTCTGGGTCTGTGGATTGTAGCATTGTTATCCTTTGTTTTACATACCATTTTTGTCTTTCTAGGCTGGGTTACCTCACTCAGGATGATTTTGTTTTCAAGTTCCATGCATTTGCCTTCAATTTTCCTGGTGTCAGTTTTTAACAGCTGAATAATACTCCACTGTGTAAATATACATATTCTTTATCCGTTCCCCTGGTTGAGCAAGGGCATCTAGGTTGTTGCCAGGTCCTGGCTATTACAAATACAGCTACCATGAACATAGTTGAGTAAGTGTCCTTATGGTATGAGAGTGCATCCTTTCGGTATATGCCCAAGAGTGGTATAGCAGGGTCTTGTAGACTGATTTCCAGTTTTCTGAGAAACCACCACGCTTACTTACATATCCTCTCCAGCATGAGCTGCCACTTGATTTTGATCTTAGCCATTCTGACAGATGTAGGAACAAATCTCAGAGTCATTTGGATATGGCTAAGGATGTTGAACATGTCTTTAAATGTTTCTTGGCCATTTGAGATTCTTTTGTTGGGAATTCTCTATTTACATCTATACCCCCATTTTTAACGGGATTATTTGGCTTGTTAATATCTGGCTTCTTCAGTTCTTTATGTATTTTGGAAATCAGCCCTCTGCCACATGAGATGTGGGGTTAGTGAAGATCATTTCCCATTCTGTAGGCTGCCATTTGTTTTGTCCTCCTAACAGGGTCCTTTGCCTCACAGAAACCTTTCATTTTCATGAGGTCCCGTTTATTAAGTGTTGAGTTGAGTGCCTGTGCTATTGGTGTCCTGTTCAGGAAGTTGTCTCCTGTGCCAACGCCCTCAAGGCTATTTCCCACTTTCTTTTCTGTCAGGTTCGGTATATCTGGATTACTGTTGAAGTCTTTGATCTACTTGGACTTGAGTATTGTGCAGGGTGATAGATATGGATCTATTTGCATTTCTACATACTGACATCCAGTTAGACCAGCACCATTTGTTGAAGATACTTTCTTTTTTTCACTGTATACTTTTGACTTTTTTGTCAAAATTCGGGTGTCTACAGGTGTGTGAATTCACATTTGGGTCTTCAATTCGATTCCATTAATCCACCTCTCTAATATTGTGTAGTTTTTTTTTTAATCACTATATAGTAGAGATCTGTAGGAGAGCTTTAAATCAGGGATGGTGATACCTCCAGAAGTTTTTTTATTGTACAGGATTGTTTTGGGTATCCTGGGAGTTGGTTTTCCATATGAAGCTGAGTATTGCTCTTTTAAGATCTGTAAAGAACTGTTCTGGGATTTTGATGGGATCTGCATTGAATCTGTAGATTGCTTTTGGTAAGATTGCCATTTTTACTATGTTAATCCTACCAATCAATCCATGGGCATGGGAGATCTTTCCATCTTCTGATATCTTCTCCAATTTCTTTAAAGGCTTCAAATTCCTGTTGTACAGGTCTTCTCTTTGCTTGGTTTTCAATTCCTATTTATACTGATCAAACAACTGCTACATCAATTGATGAGACTACATTTGGTTTTATAGGAAACTACCAAAATGTCTTCTGGAATGGACATTCCATTTTGCAATTATTTTAGTGACCAAGGAGAGTTCCTGTGCTCTGTGTCCTCCCCAGTATTTTTGTGCTCACTGCTCCAGATTGGTTCATTCTAGACAGTTCCCTGCAGTATGTGACAGGTAGCACTGTGTCATCCTGACTTTATGTCTTTATTTCCTTTAGTAAGGTATCTTTGCATATTCTCAGTCCTTAAAAACCAATTTTTTTTTTAAATTGTTGACTTCAAAGAGTTCTTTGTATATTTTAGAGAATATCAGGTAAGGCTGTTCTTTTAGTACTTATTTAAGATGTCAGATAACTATAATGCACAAGATTCTTTATATTTTTTCTTGTTTGATTTTCTTTTCTTTTTTTGCTAGCTAAAAGTAATTTCATTCGAGTCTAAATGTTTAAGCTTCTGACTGTTTTGACAAACTGTTGGTTAGTTTTCTAGGCTATTTCCCATCCATGGTAGTACTCACTATTTAAATACAAAACCATAATGCAGTAAGGAAAAAGAATTATTATTGTTGCCATTTTTTCTCTCCATGTCTTACACAGTGATGTGTCAAAGATGGATGGGAGGAAGGCAAGAAGATTCTACAAAGATTTTGATTAACTGAGATCCCTGGGCAGATCCTATGCCTATTTCTACAGTAGCTATTTATCTAACATTGGTAACACTTAACACACACATTTCTTATAGTTTTCCTTTCTGAAAATCATCTGACAGTAAAATTCAGTGGAATTGGTATAATTACTATAATAAATACAGAAAACAAGTTTTAAAACTTCCACACTGCATACATTTGCCATATTTAGACATGAATCTTAGAAATGAGTACATGATTCACCAACCTGAAGAGAGAAGCAGTAAGGTTTTCATACAGAGATACTCTTCATAGGATACCTGCAATCTTTGTAACTCAGAGGAGATAAACAGCATGTGTTTACATTGGTCATACATGCAAGGAAGAGCCATTCTCTGCCTGTGAGACACAAACAGAAGTATGAGTTAGAAAGAAACAGTGCTAGTCTAAAATAGCTCAATTTTTGTTTGGTTTTCAAATTTATGAATACATGAGTAAAAGCATACCTAGTGCTGTAAATAATCCCTTATAGAACTAGAATGTTGGTGAACAGGAGAGTCTACTCAATGATACAACCCTTTATACTAGAGATATTAGGTTTTTGTTTCAGAACTGTGAATGCTTTGCTATACTTTGAACTCATTAAGCTATATAATTCTGGAATGCCTATAGCATACTTTAATTGAATCATTAGGATTTAGTTATTTTTCAGATCTTCTAATCTGCTTATTCCTTCTTAAATTATTTTATTTTTTGAGATTTAATATACTTACATCAATGTATTATACATATATGTATATAAATACATATATACATATATATTTCCCTTTCTTCCCTCCAAATTCTCCTTCAAATTGGTGGCCTCTTTTTGCATTAATAGTTGTTACATATATGTATATTTATTATATTCCTAAATTTGTAATTACAACCTGTTGTGTGTGCATACTGTTACTTGTGTATGTTTCTAGGGCTGACCAGTGGTATTGGATAACTAACTGGTGTGTTTTTCCCTGCTAATACTATTTCTCCTGCACTCAGCACTCCTAAGCTCCAGTAGTTCTTTGTGTGGGTTGAGGTCTTGTGAGCTTCCCCTTCATTCATGAGTAGGTCTATTGCTTAGTTCCTGTTTAAGCAGGGACACTACTTTTCTTCATACATGGCAGGCAACATTTCATTTCCTTTAACATTTTAGAAGTTATTATTAGTTACTCACTTAATCAACATTTGGCATTTGACTACAGTCAGCTCTACAACATAGATTTTGAGCTAACCTTTTAAAAATTAGAAAACCCCTCTGTGTTATATAGTATCCCATCCTAAAACAGTTATGTGTGAAAGGTATGCTGGGGGGGGCAGTATTAATTAGCACTTGATATCTTCTCAGTATTCATCTTATTTTTTGAGATACAGTTTCTTACCGAACCTGGATCTTTCTTATGGGCTACATTGTCTGGCCAGAAAGCCTCAGGAATCCTCCTGTCTGGAACTCCCTAGTGTGTGTCTCTACAAGTAATAAGTAAGCAGCTAAAGGCAGGGACCATTTCTGTATTCTGTGGAATAAGATGTGGAGCTCTGTTAGTAGAGTGCTCTGCCTAGCATTGGGCTCACGTTCAATCCTTATTCCCTTCCCTCTATCAAGACTAAATGTTATTCGTTGTTATTTACTTCTAATCCATGAAGGGTTTTTCTTGGCCCTAGAACAAAATCTGAAGTCTCTAAAGTCTACTTCATGAACTACATGATTTTCTTTTGTCATGATTTACTCCTTTAAATGCTACCATATCCTTGAGGGCCTTTCAGTTCCTCATCAGGCTTGCCAGCTGTGCCGGGCTTGCTTCAGTTCTTCATGCTTCTTCTGCCTTGAATCCTTGAATGCCATATGCTTTCATAGCTTTTTTTGTTTGTTTCTTTGTTCTTTGTGTGTGTGTGTGTTTTTTTTTTTTTTTTTTTTTTTTTTTTTTTGGACAGTGAATGATTAGCTATTCAAGCCCTCTGGGCTCCAAAAACTCCATCATCTCCACTCACCCCTTCCTCACTGTTATCTTATGGCTCTATGAATCCTCCCCCCCAATCAGATTGTTCTATTTTGTCTACTATTTTATTCCAAGTTTTCCTAATGGTGTTTGGCTCTTGGTAAGTGTGTAAATACCACTTAAAACGTGGCAAGAGAAAGTCGCAAGTGCCACCAGTGGGGAAACAATATTAACTTTAACTGGATGATTAACTGCTTCAGCTAGGATTTCTTTCTACTGCTTTCCCAGCTGTATCCTGAGATGTGTGTCCCAGAAATTACCCAGCAGTAGCTCAAAGAAGAGGTGTCTGGAGTCTTGGGTTACCTCATAATAATGGCTTTGGCATACTCCCTAAGAATCTGTCCTTAAAAATATCTGGGCTATCTCATCTGGTCTCTACTAAAGCATGTAAGATAAAAAGGAGATTCTCTGTGTCATTGCTCCAGCCTCTCCCATTTAACATTTAACTCAAATAGATGCTTTTCTGTAACTCCTACACATTTTTTTTTTTTTTTTTAAATCTGGTACATACAGTAAGGGATGCTTGCTTTATTTTCATACAGCCTCTTTAGGCTGTCCCAAATGCTCTACAATTCTCCTTCTCTAATATTCTATTCATTAATTCATTCATCAATTTTCAACATTATTGCCATTCTGAACACATTTCAGGTGGTCAGTGCTACTCACATGAAGTATAACTGAATGCTATTGTGCTAATAGGGATTTATGGTTTCTATTACTTTAGGGAGGAACTCTTAACAGAACCTATAAGTATATAGTAAAGGATTATCTCTGTTTTCTTCAGAGAATATCCCTTGGACTCTGTGTATGCACTTATACACATTCTAGGAAAGGATAAGCTATTGGCACAAAGGTTAATGATAACAAATAGAAGGTAAGAACATCCAGGGCTATATGGAAGAGGTTATATTTATAGTCTGTCAACTAACAGGTTATGTTTGAAGAATGAGCAGTTTAAGTGCCAACAAAGAACGTTTAATAGAAAGCAAGGATACACTGGATAGTCAGTGGATCAGAGGAAAGCATTAGTCAACACAGTGACAATGGCGATAGAAAACCAGTGAGCAAAATAGCTGCATGAGACCAGGGGATGAACGGCTGCCATAATTAATTCACACATACTAGCATAGGCCTACAGGATATGAAAATGGCTGACTTATAAAACTGTTATAATAGTTCTTCAGTTTTTTTTAAAAAAAATCATAATACCATTTTTCTGTTTTAGACAGAGTTTCATGTGGCTCAGGCTGGCCTCAGACTAGCTATGCACCCATGGATCATCAAGACCTTCTGATCTTCCTGTGTCTACTTCTTCAATGCTAAGATTACAGGTATGCACGTTGTGCCCAGTTTATGCTGTGCTAGGGATCAAATGAAAGTTTTACACACGCTAGACACTGCCAACTGAGCTACACCCCTAACATAATTCTCAGTCTTTCTAGAGCAGAGATTGTTATAAGCCTAACCATGCAAACAGATACCCCTTGTCTCTGTGTCTGTATTACCTCACATCCTTTCAGTGGGGGCATCCTCATTGTTTTTAATTTCCCCCTCTGCCCCATGAATTTTCTCATACTCATTTTGTTTTCTTGATTAGAGTTATATAATTACAATAACAGAACAATAAGACTATTATTATTGTTACTTGCTATGCTACTGTAGTGAGCTCAACACTCTGGGGATGCCCAAGGTATAAAAGGATTTTATTTATCTTTGATTATGTAGCTCTGCTGTTCTGAACTCAGTATGTAGCCCACACTGACATGGAACTCAGAGATCTACTTGCCACTGGAGGTCTGGGATTAAAGGTATATATCACCTCATAGAGGTGGAGTTCAGGTATTTGTAACTGTTACCTTGAGACAGTAATAATTGTACATATGCGTGTTCTCTATCTTACAATTACTCTAGCTCAAGCACTGATGAACAACTCTGCTTCCAGTTTGTTCAGATCTTAGATAGCTGGTAGGATTGATTCAGTACCACATTATTTTGATAGCCCACTGGGAAAACATCCAATGATTAAAATACTGTATGAATATAACTTACTCATTAATAATCAGATCAGGAGCAAAACACAGCAGGTTTGCACTTGCTTGTCTGTATGATCTCCAACCCAGGGCAAATGCCATGAGAAACATCCATGAGTACTGCAGGAGAGTCATTTGGTCATCCAAGTGTAAGTTCCTGAATCCTAAATTGGAAATAAAGGTGTAAGGTAACACTCTAGTTACCAGTTGTCCTTGTTTGGGGGTGACCTTTAATAGCATCTGTCAGATCAACATCTAGGCACTCAGAACCTTTTTAATGGTTTAACAAAATGTATGAATAGCTGTTAATTTTTTGTCACTTTTAACTACTTACGTATAAACAAAGTAATATAGTAAAAGAGTCTTGGCTTAGGATATTTCTTAATGGATTTAGATTTTAATTTTCCTGATATCTATCTTCTTTCCTTGGCTAAGATGGTGAGGGTGATGTCTTCTTCTGCTTGTGTGTGTAGGCATAAGCTTGCCAATCTCCTCTATCTGTAAAGTCAGGGCTGGTACTTAACATTTACTTCTACTACACCAAAATTCTAACATGAAACTTTTGTTTAATAATGCCTTAAAATTAGATGGAAATTTATATTCAACATGTGGCATTTCATTTTATGAAAAGCAAAAATCAATTTGTATTAGTAAATTTTGACAAATTCAAGAACCCACTGTTTATCAATTTCAAAAATAGTATCCAAACAAACAAAATGACTGGAATTCATAAATGGTGTCATAGAGAAGGGAATTTAAGTTAGTTCTGATAATCATGATCCTATCTAAAATAAAATGCTATGGGTGAAAACTAGGGAATAGTGTCATCTATGGCTTACTATGAATTTCTCATTTGTCCTTATGAGTAAGAGAAACAAGACTTGCTATGAGATTAGGATGATACACAACCTATAGAGGCCTATAAACAGCTTTATTATTGGGGGGATGTGCTGCAGATTGACCCCAGGGTCTTATGCATGGCAAGCAAATGGCATACCACTGAGTTATCTACCAAGCCCAACACAGAATGCTTTTGTTCAAGAAATACAAAGGTCTGTGCTGTAGTTCTGTCATCTTTTGTGACTTACCTGGTATTGCCTTTGCCCATTTCACTGCTGCAATCACCTGGCGCCCACCTAACATGTTGAGTGTGGTCATGATTCTCCAAGCTGAGTCTGGAATAGAGCTGTCATATCCTGCATATAACACCTCAGGTTCAATGACCTCCAGCAGTGATACCAGGGTAGGGGTAAGTTGTGGTAATGTTGCAGGAACTATTGTTTTGTTAGGATTTTCAGAAGTGTCTTGTGAGACTCCTGTAGTGGCTTGCTGAATCCCTTTTATCTTTTTCTTTGTTTTTCGAGCTGAGGATATTGGGAAGGAAAAAAAATGAAAAAAGAAATGTACTGAATCACATTTGTAGCCCAAACTTTCCAATTACAAGAGGTGTTTAATTTCTTAAACTACTACTGAAAGAAGTAAAGTATTTTGAACTTTTTGGCATGTGTGGTAGTTTGCCTGTAACTGGTCCCCATAATCTCATCAGGAGTAGTGCTATTAGGAGGAGTGGCTTTGAGGTCTCTTGCTTAAGCTCCATTCAGTGTCACAGTTCATTGACTTCCTGTTGCCTGCAAAACGTAGGACTCCCAGCTACTATTCCAGCACCACTTCTGCCCACACACTGCCATGCTCCCTGTCATGATGATAACGGACTCAACCTCTGAAACTGTAAGCCAGCCATCCCAATTATGTTTTCTTTATAAGAACTGCCATGGCATGGTGTCTTTACAGCAATAGAAACCTTAAGACGGCATGTATATGAGATTGTTTGCGTGTGTACATGTAAGTGTGGTGTATGTATACATGAATTCCTTGTTACTAATTGTGAGGACATGGCATGGAAAGGGAGAAGTTTTGTTTCTGGAAGGGAAAGATCCATAGGAATTCACTCCCATCATTTGTTTCCCCTAAAAGTTAGCCATTAGTTTACTGTTTACCCTAAACTTTTGCTTCTCCTGCCTCTTATTAATTCTTCCAGAATTTCATACAATGTATTTTTGATCATATTTACTCCTTTTTCTAACTCCTCCCAGATCCACACCCCTTTCCCAACTCTGTTCTCACCTATTACTTTTTTTAAGCCCATAAAAATACAATTTGTGCTGTCCATATGCTCTTGGATGTGTGGACTTCCATTGGAGTGGGATGACCTATCAGGGGCCACAATAGCTCCTTAGGTAGGTTATGGGACTCTGTTCCCTTTCCCCTTCTCCATTGGTCTGGCTTGAGTGTTGCCAGGTCTTATGCATACTCTCATAACTGCTGTGAGTTCATATGTGTAGCTGTCCTGTGTCTGAGAACAGTTTTCTGTAGCCATCCACTGCCTGACTATAGTTTTCCACCCTCTTTTATGCAGTGATCCCTGAGTCTTGGGAGGAAGAGGTTTACTACAGATATCTAGGACTGAGCATTTTGCATTGAATACAAATAATATACATTTGAATTAATTTTTGTAACTTTTGTAATTTCAAGAAAGTGTTTTAATATGTTAGCACTTGGCTGCCAATTTTAAACAATCTGGATGGACTTAAAGCTCTGGGGGATTTGAAATCTTTATATTTAGCAATGCGCTCTGTGGAAGGCAGCACTGGGAATCTCTCCTATAAAGAGAATAAGATAAATAACATTCTTTCAGTATCAGCATCTTTTACTAATATCATTGCTACTCTTTCTTCCTTTGGTCTCAGTTTAAGATTAGTCTTTTTTTTTTTTTTTAAAAAAGCTTTCTTTTTACTTTTAATTATGTATATGCATATATGCATTTTTGTCTATGTGGGTATGTGTACATGACTGCATGCCAGATCCCCTGGAACTGAATTAAAGGCAGTTGTGAGCTATCAAATGTGGGTGCTGGGAGGTGAATTTGGTTCCTCTGCCACTGATCATTTCTCTAGCCCCAAGGCTAGACTTTGTACAATACAGATGTGACCATGCTTCTGCCATTATTGTTTATTTAATTCCTAATCATTGTCTATATTTACAATTTAGTGCTACTTCTTCCAGGATAACTTCTCTGACCTTCAGGACAGAATCAGATGACCTTCCCTCCTGATCCTGTAGCATTATTCCTTTTGTGGCATGCCACACTATGTTATGATTGACTTTGTGCCTAAATAGAAAGTATACTGCTCAAATTCAGGCATTGAATTTTTTATTTTTTATATTTGTTGAGTACTTAGTAAGTGAAGTACTACACTAACATGAGTTAGTAAGAATGCCATGTTTGCATTCAGAGTGCTTGCTATTTCAACTACACAAAAATCCCAAACTTTTCCAGATGAAAGCCTTTAGATGAGATTAAGTGTTGATTATATAACCTGTTATAGAAACAGGAATATTAAATTCTAACTTAAACCTCAAATCCATCCAATAACACCTTAATTTTTTTTGTTGAGTTGTAATAAAACATGTTTTTAAGGCATATGTTTTTGAAATGCAAAAGAGAGGAACATGAAATAGAGCTCATCCACATACTTTTCCAAGCTTAGGGAATGGTTTCGATCAAAAAAAAAGAAAGAAAGAAAACAACTGCCTTAAGTTATGTAATGTAATTTCTTTATTTAACATACACTCTGGCTATCCTAAATTCAATGTATGTAACAAAATCGATGAATTAACACATGAATAATATGATCATGGAAAAAATCCAAAATATTATGCAATATATTTTATTGGACAATAATATAACATTATGCTGTTAGCATATATAAACTGAGTTCATTAAGTGATGACATCCACTGCTATTATAAGAAGCAAATGTGATAGTGAGATAGTGCTTTTTAGGCACATTTCTATTACCTTCGAGATTCATTCCAGCTTGAAGACATTTTCGATAGCGGCATGCTGGGCAGTTTTTTCTTCTAATTTTATCAATGATACAGTCATTTCTTCCAGCACAAAGATAATTGTGCTGTCCTAAAAGAGATAAAAAGAGGCGCTGTTAAAGTTCCACACATTTGTAAGGGTATTTTTTTATGAACTTTGAGTGGACTATGATACAAAGTCCCCGATTAAGGAAAGTAAGTGTGCTTGTCTACATGAATTACAATGTTGAGAGGACTTCTTCTGGTCAACAAATTTAATAATCAATTGTGTACAAATCGTAAATATACTTTAAAATTAAGAGACAGAATGATATCCAAAAGTTATAGATGGTGTCTGTAACCACTGTTTTATTATTATGACCTATTGTAAAAGTGACTAAAGAGAAAGCAGGCTTAAAAATATTTTGCAATCCCTAAAGAAAAAAAATGACTTGAATTCAATAGTCAACATTATACCTTTACATGTAGGTAAAATGTGTTCTCACAATTTTAAGAGAAGTGAAACATTACCAATTGCCAGCAGCTGGTTACATAACTTGGCAAACTTACGCTGACTATTCAGTATGCTTTTGGAATATAAGGATGCTTGGAGTAACCTGTGGCCTCACATACTGACTTAAAGAGTGCTAGTATTGAAGAACTTAAGTTCTTTCATATTGAAACATTTCAAAAAACACTAAAAAGGAAAAGATTAAGGGTTTGTCTCGCACATGCACAGTCACCCTGTCTTCTTTTAATCTGAGTATTAAATATATCAATGAAAACAATCAAAAGATCCATTTGCCTGGGGAATAAATATAGAAGTTTTCTATGTAAGACTTGATTGTTCACATAGATATATCAATAATTAACATTCTTTGTTACTTATGCTAGATGAGATTGCAAGACCTTGAGAAATGAGTGATATTTCTCAATAAATCATATTTAAAATCAGTTCACCACACTGAGCATATCTAGTTCTGGTTTCTAAGAAGAGAACTTTTGTCTTTAATGCCTAGGGCAACCAAGAGACTTGGATTAAAAAATACTTAATTTTCCCTGATATAAATCATGATGTTCTTTTAAATATAAGTTTAGAATACATGGTTGACTGTAGCCTCATCTTCCCAAAAGATTAAACTGATACAAAGTTGACTAATGGTTACCCATCTACCTTTATCCCAGGGCTATTCTCCCATGCCAAGTATCTGTAATCTTCCTGAACACAAAATGGAGGCACTAATCCAATAAAATCCTATTATATGGGATTGAAGAGATGGCTCAGCACTTGCTGCTCTTGCAGAGGACCTAGGTTTTACTTCCCAGAACCCGCATGGGAGCAGCTCTCAAGTGTCTGCAAGTCCAGTTCCTGGGAATCAGATGCCTTCTGACCTCTACAGGTACCAGGCATACACACAGTGTTCATGTAGGCAAACAATTCATATAAGTAAAATAAAACTAAATCCTTAAAATCCCATTTTGCAGCAAAAGGAGAAATAACAGATTGCATCCACAGCTACTGCACAAAAATGTCACCCCCTAAAAACATCCCCACATCATTGTCTTGCAAACTGTTCCTACATTAGTGTCCTGCAGTTACTAGAAAAAATTACTTCTAGAGTAGAAGAAATTCAGTGTTTATGCCCAACTAAAAGATTCAGCTAAGCATATTATGCTGATAATGATTTCTCTGTATAGGGTGTGGCATAACTGAGAATCTTCACTAGAGGCTCAGGTTACCACAATAGTATGATGTTTTATTAAGACAAAAGGAATGGTCATGCATTACTAATAGTAATTTAACAACCATCCTTTCAAGACAATATTTGGAATTTTCTGCCACCTGGTAAATTTCCTTTTATCAATATCAAGTGAAGAGCCTTCAGATCACCCGAAGCCTCTTTACACTGCTGTTACTGGTACTTTTGGCTAAAATCTACTTTTAGCACGTGACTGTGGCTTCCTAGTAATGACAGGTGTAGTAACCAGACTAAAAGATGCCCAGTATATCTGTCTCCTGGTATAGAGTAGTGTAGTCCCTTCCCATATCATACCCAGCTGGTTTCTGTGACCAATAACATATTTCATAGATCAAACTGGAATGGGAAATGGGAACATAACAAAAGGCATATAGAACATACAGACTAAATATAAAGTAATACTATCAGCTTAAACTTCTATACCTCTTCTCCGTAGCAGTGTGGTATAGGGGGTGCATGTACTATTAGTGGGGTGCCAAAAACTGTTCTTGAAAACGTTAACTTTTGGGGGTTTGTTTTCTTATGGAGTGTTGTAAAATTTGTAATTATGCAGATAATACAGTGCATAGTATCGCCTAGTAAAACCTCTTATGATTACTTTTATTTCAGCATCCACTTACATTATGAACTGGCAGGTGTCAAAGACTTGTCATATAGCCTTAGTTAGTGTCCTAAGACTAGGACTTTACTTGGAGACTGCTTTCTTGGAATCCAAGCTTTGCCACTTACCTGATTACTAGTCTGTCAGACTAACAGAATCTAACAGATCCTAACAGACTCTAAGTGCTCAGGGGACTATGACTGATTTGGCATATGTGTACCTCACACATGGAAAATGAAGTCAGTGATAACTGTTTATCTTCTGTTCTACAACACAGTTATAGACACTAGGTGTAAAATTAATATAATAAAAAGGGACTGGCAGGGAAAGAGGAGCATAGAAAGAAACGGAGAACTCCCAAGATCTTAAATTTAAAAATAAAAAATACCTACTCTCGTTCCATCTTATATAAATGACAAACGCTTAAAACTTACTCAGATTTATGTTTGGGTGTTTATAATGCCAATATTGGAGCTAAGTATAATTTCTAGTATGTGTTAAAAATGTGATGTTAAATATACCCATCCTTTAAAAAAGAAATGTCACAAACTATGTATAGGGATTTTACTAGTCTCCATAAAAATTTGAGTTAGAATACCAAAGTTTATAGAAATTTAGAGCTGGTAAATGCCTTTGAGAACAATGAAATTCAAGTTACAGATGTAAAGGTTTTCTGAAATAATTAAATGATAAACATTTTTAAGTACTGTAGCTACTACTAAGTTTTACCTAAAAATAAGTGAGTTAATTTTAAATAAGAATTAAGGAAATTGGTCTGTAATGGTATTATAGTTCAGAAGTAAATCTAGCTTTATTTTCTGGTTTAATTCCATCATGATACTTTTAGGTAGAGTACATAAAATCTTTATTATTAATCTTTACCTCTGGAGTGTGCACATAGTCACACTGTATCATTTTTACAGTATAAACACCTTGAAAACATCATTGTTCCAGATGACCTCTGTACGATAATCTCTGTACTTGGAATTGTTAATTCAGCTTTCACTCAAAGGGACTGTGACAACCCTGAGGGCAGATCAGGTCTTAATGGTGTTTGTAGTACTTAACATGACCTCTTATTTAACAGGGAAAAATGAAAGAAAAAATGCTATTCCTCTCAATTCCCAGTGTCACTCACTTTTGTCTGAATGGTACAGCTGGTAGCTTTGAAGCCAACTTGCTTATGGGGAATAGAAATCTTCCATTCTCTGTCCAGACTCACCAAACTGTCAGTTCACATAGCAGTATCCTTTACCATGTTTACTCTGGTTCATTCTCAGACTGAACATTTTTTTATCAGTTTATTCTAGTTCTGCTCCTTCCTCCTTTCCTTTTCCCTTCCCCTCCCCAATGGAGGACAAAAGAGCCACCATGCATGTCTCTAAAATGGGTATCCAGCCTTGGTGGACTTTGCATACAATGGGCAATTCAAAATGTACTGTGAGAAATAGAAACAAAGCAAAAATGAAACTCTTCAAAACACACACTACCTTCCACTGCTCTTTTGAAGAATACTTTACAGCTCCCACATGTTAACACCCCATAATGACATCCTGAAGCTTCATCGGAGCACACCAGGCAGAGTTTGGGAGGTGGTCCTGTTGTGGTTGAGGAGCTAGATGGAGGAGAGCTTACATCTGGTCTCATTCCAGGGCTAAAGGAAGAGGAGAAACAGTGTTATGATTGTCACCATTATGAGAGGACTGACAAATATAATTCTTTTTCCCTTTTCATTTCACATCAGTGTGTTCACACTGAATCCTGTCTTTTAAACACTAGTAAGCACCAGAATACCATATCTAAACATATTTAAAAATGTCATTTTTGCATATAAAAATGAAATACAGGAAATGGCAAGATTTCTCAATGGTTAAGGTCACATGCCCAGCAGGCATGAGGACCTGAGTTCAAATCCCTACCATCTTTATACAAAGCAGGGCATAATTGTGCATACCTATAATCCAGCATGGGGGACAGAGACATGTGCATATGAAGGGCTCCCCAAGCAGCCTAACTGAAATAGTAAGGTTCTCAGTCAATTATAGATCCTGTCTCAAGTCAGAAAGGTGGAAAGTGACAGAGGATACACATCATATAACTGTTCTTGTCTCTACATACCTGTACACTCCATACATATAAAACATGATGTGTAAGAGCCAATTCTTTTTGTGGCTCCTAAACAGAATGATGTTGTAGTTTACTTAGAATATAATTGCTATTTAAATACAATGGTATACATTAAAAGAGTAAAATTACCAAGATTTTTTTTTAGTGGATTATACCTATAGCTACCATTAAAGTAAAGAAAGAATATTTCTACCACATCTCCAGAATTCCTTCTATCCCATTAACTGCCTAGGACATCAATCTTTTTCCCTCTTAATTTTAAGGTCTTACACTAATTAAGAATCACTATCATTCTATCCATGTTCTCTAGTATAGAAAAAATTACATACCAGTGCATAAATTGATCCTAGAAGAAACAATAGTTTTCTACAACTTGGAAAAGATGATTCCAGAAACATTAATGTATATATTGGGGAAAACTCTAGTTTTCAAATCTGAGAACAATCATCCTGCTCTCTCTCAATCAAAATGGCCCTAAGGCAAACAATGACAAGAATGAGTCTGATGTTTTGATCAGGCTTCACTTTCCACTTTGCAAACTTCTTACCAGATTGTGTGAATTGTAGGGCTTATTGGTTTAAAGTTCTTAAACTTTCAAAAAGAACAATGGGTGTTTATCTTTTACCTAAAACAATTAGGACAGAAGATAAATGAACTTTTACAGTTCATAATTAAGAGACAATGATGGTTGTCCTAAAGAACTTTTATTATACGTGCTGACTCTGAAACCAATTATGTGTGTGTGTGTGTGTTTGTGTGTATTATGTAGCTAGCTAGCTAAAAAGGAACTCCAGCCTCATGCTTTAAATTACACTGCCTATTCCTTATCCTTATCTTCTTATGTGCTCTCAAACAGGCTTTCAAAACTGCAGGCGGTATCAAATTGTTGGGTGTGGAACACTTCATGTTAAAGCAAGCTGTTTATCACTTATAGAAGACAGTTTACATATATAGCACTACCTTCCCCTATGCACTTTGCTCATTGTATTCTCCAAGAGATGCTATTTAGGAATAAGCTGGACTGGATGTGGACTTTTTGTTCAGCCTTTATGAATGCTTTTATTTCTGCCCAAGACAATAATAAACCTCAAATGCAAAAATGATTAATACATTGGCAACTATACCATTTTTTTCATTTGTTTTATTAGTTAGAAATGACAACTAATATCTTTCTGTTGCTAAATTTACTTAGGAACAAAAATTTTAAAAATAGTAAATGTCATTGGAGTTGTTAAATTATCTCTCTAATCCTAATATTTGGGAGGCTGAAACAGAAAGACCAATACAAATTTAAGCCCAGTCTGGGACTGCCAATTCTGAAAAACTCTATGAGACCCTATCTCAAGAAACAAACAATAAATGTGTTATAATTCTAGTAAGTAAGTCATTAAGCCCAAGGTTCACCCTAAATTTAATCCTCAAAGTTGCCTGCATTTTGCCAATTGTTTATCTAGTGACTTAATCAATAGGGCAGCATTCCCACCATTTAGTTCTGGGAATAGGCTCTAGGGTTTCAAATTTGTTCTCTGAGCACTGTCAATAGACTTTCTGCTTGTTTCCATATCACAAGGTATTGATCCCTTGCTAGATTTGGGCAAGTGGACTGAGTGCATACTGAGAGCCTCTAATAGAAGAGCGTCTCCTGAAGTGGCCGATGTGGTTGGGCACATCCTCCACTAATGTAGACGTGTAAGGTAAAGCTGCTACTCTGGGCCAGAGTTTTACACTGAAGTAGGAAGGTCCTAGGATGAGCACAGAGTGTAGCAATGTACAAGGGAAGCAAAACTCCCTCTCTTCTGTTCTGAAGATGCTCCTATTCCTGCTCAGCCAATCTCTTTTCAACTGACATCTATTTTTAGAGAGCACCAAGTTGCTTGTATATTTAGTTTATGGAAAATGAGCACACTGTTTAAGGATTTTTAAGGTCAATTTTAAAGTTTCCTTTACCAGTTTTATATATGATATTCACATATGTATAAAATACAAGCATATATTTGAATTTTAAACAGCCTTTTGAAGTACAGCATGGTTTAAGAACACTGCCATGAAGAGGCTCTCACTTATCCTCTAAATAACCCTGTGATAAGATGTCGCCATCCCTAGGTGAGCTCATGCAAACAGTGGCACATGGTTGATCAGGGAGTATACTGATTAGGTTCAGATCTCAGCAGTTCCATTTGACAGCCTGTACAGCTTTTGGAAAGTATCGACTACTTTGAGCTTCAGTTTGCTCATCTATTAGCTGAGAAGTATCACCCATGAATATGACTGAAACCCTAAATAATACTTCATAAGGTTGCAGCAAGGGACTGAAGCATACATGCTCATTACTTTTTTAAAGGAAAACAGAAGACAAGACTAAAATCTAGGACATTACTCTCCAAATTACCACAGAGAATCAGAATATATACAGAACATGTTCAGATTACTTAAATATGATTTACAGATGGGAAATATGAGTGAAAAATCTAGAACCCAAGTCAAGCTTTAGGGAAATCATCTGGACTACACCAGATAAGAACTCAGTGTATGTAAAGCTGCATACCATAGACATGTGTGGAAAAAAAAAAATCAGCTTTTGTCACACAGAAGGGAACTTAGTGGGTTACACTGACCATCTATGTAAGAAACAGATGAATACAACTGCAAGTGTCACTTGCTATGATATGCCAAAAGGGCTAGGGCTCAACAAAATGGCTACATCTTCAAGGAAAATAACAGACATCTTCTAATAACTGTATTTTCCACCTGCTTTTTCCTATGGCTACTATCAGATGCTAATAGCACAAGTATGCTGTGGGACAAACTTTGTATACTGTAAATATGTTTTACTGTCACTGTTTAGTGACAACCTGATTGGCCTATAGGTGGGCAGGAAAAGATTGGGCAGGAGAGCTAGACAAGGAGGACTCTGGAAAGGGCCAAGTTTGAGTGTCACTAGCCAGATCCTGAAGAAGCAACAAGGGAAGTTCATAGAGGACATAAAGGAGCCTTGGGGAAGCACATAGATTAATACAATGGGTCAATTTACGATATAAGAGCTAGCTAAAAGCTACCCTAAGCCGTTGGTCAAATCATTTGTAATTAATAGTAAGTCTCTGTGTGGTTATTTGGGGAGTGGCTGGTGGGACAGAAAAGTTTGCCAACACCAGTATTTATGTCTCTTTCTATTTTGTCACACATTAAAAAGATACAGGTGTTGATATTTACAATATTTACAGAATTAACCATTTTTTTTCTTTCTCAAGGCTATTTAGTGGGCTTTACCTCTTTTAACTATGTGGTAATAGTGAATACAATGACCAATACATGTTAAGCTAATCAGTGCAAGTATCATCACAAAAATATTCTGATAGGATTATGGGGAATCTCATGGGTCCTTAGAATACAATGTGAGAATTTGCTGTCACAGAGAACATGGGGTGATAATATAATAGTTTGGTAATAGTTTAAATATTTTTAAATTCTCAATTGTTCTATTTCTGAGCAAAAGAAAATGCCATTATGTACTAGACCTGAGGTTTTCCTCTAAAGAATAAGGAGATGTTAAACTTTTACAAAACTCAAGTGTTGTCGTTGGCTTAGCCTTCAATTTAAGTGAATTTAATCAATAATTTTTCAATGCAGTGTAAGATATCCACCTCAGAAAACAAGTATTAACTTCCATGGGAAAATCTTGTAAATACAGCTGCCTGCCGCACTGGTTTAATTTTTAACACCTACTAATGTAATAGGTGTATCTCATCAGCTTGTCAGTTTTGTTCAAATGCCACAAGGCAGCAGTTCTCAATAGGGGACAATTTTGTTCCTAGGGGACATCTGGCAATGTCTGAAGATATTTTTTTTTCTTACAAATGGGTGAAAGCTCCTTTTATATGAGATAAAGGCCCAAGATGTGACAAATACCCTCCAGTGCACAAGCTAGCCCCCAATAACAGAATTACCCAGCTTCAGATGTCAGCGGTGCTAAGGTTGAGGAAGCTTTGCCAAAAACTTGTAGCACATAAATTGGCATGGACAAATAAATAAAATCTAACAGGAACCAGACACCTCTTTAAAGTGTGTGGTGCTCATTCTTGATTGATGAATCCAGAACACAATGCCTACAGCTAAGACTCAGAGTGTATCTTGAGAGAGGGGAGAGGAAGATTGTAACAGCTAGAGGATATGTGAGATACAGCTGTACCTATGAAATCTCAAAGATATGGTTTCCTAAATGAGACCCAAATAATGACAATACCAGTTGATATACCAATGTTGAAGGGTATCTCACAGGGCCCCACCCCTAGATGAAAAGCCACAGACTATAACTGTGCCCTTTACCAAGTAGTCAGTCCTAAAAGACTACATCTGAAAGACAGTAATGTACTCAAAGACTCAAGGTTATATTTTATACATGTGTGTGCATGTGTGAGCACACACACACATACACACACACACACGAACGAATAATAACTGAGGAAAAACAGGCCATGAATTTGAGAGGGCAGAGGGCTGACATGGTGAAACAGAGGGAGCAGGGAAATA